TGTCCCATCCCAGTCAATCTATCTAACGAGTAAATTTTCTCAACAGGCGAGACGTCAAAATTCATGAAACTAGAGAAGAAGAATCCGACTGGAAATTCCCCATCCCGAATCGACCCACCTAATTCATCTTCCAAAAATACTGAGGAGAGTAGAGACGATAGAGGATCATCATCTCTAAGTACTCATGACAGTACTAAAGCTTTCGTGGGCCCCAGAATCCGGTGGACAGAAGCACAGCGTTCGACAGTTCTATCAGCTTTCGGAGAACAGTTGAAAATTGGGGAAATCCCATCAGGGGTAAAGATGCAGAGTCTCATATCCTGCAGTAGATGTTTAGAAGGACGAACTGTTGTGCAAATGAGGAGCTGGTTGCACACGCAAAGAAAAAAAATGTTGATAAATAATTCCAGTAAATCCAGTGAGAGAGAACAAAAAGAACTGAGCAAAACATACTCAGAGCCGACTCGCTCAGAAATATCATCAGAGCTGACAAGCGATCAAGGTGGAGGCGAATGTCAAAGCAGTCAAAAAGAACAATCATCAGCACAAGAAGTGCCATCAACACTTAAGGTGACCAACCTCACATTACCCACTTCTCACAAACAGGATACCGAAATCCTTGAGGCTCTGAAGCTATATCCCAGTACCCCGTCATCGAAAACGATCTTTTCCAAGCAGATACCTCCACCACCACCCCCTCCACCACCACCCTCTCCACCACTACCCCCTCCACCACCATCAACACCACCTCAATCACGTTTGAATCTTCAAGAAAATATCTCAGCCATTCAGAATGATAATGAAGATGATAACGATAATGAAACTGGTGTACTGATTGAAAATGAACGAGAAGAAGAGTCATCCAATACTCCATTGATGAATGATGAGATCGTAAAGCACAGATTAATGAATCCTTCGATGCCAGCTGCAGTCACGAATTTCCAGGCTCCTCAGTGTATAATACCTGAACTCCAGGTGCCAGCTATTGAGACCACCAAGTTCCAGTCTTTACCTCTACCTCCTATCAGTGACAATGAAGGCAATAGTGCCATGATTTCAGAGAATATTCACAACAGTACTGGGAAAAAAATCGTGTCAACACTTGTCGAGATTGCCAAGACGGCATTACTCACCCATCATGTTAATGAGGATCCAAGCACTCATAGATCTGAGATCAAAACATCACAACAGGAATACCCAGGAGCCAAGGCACCACAACATCCCGTTGAGGCACTGGATTCGAAGGAAATTGAGGACAAAGAAAGCTCTGTGCCACAAGAAGAAATTCTGGAAACGGAGGGAACAATAATAGTC